TAATTTTGCACCTCTATTTCTATTGTGCCTCGTTTAGGCGCAAAAATGAAAGTAGCTTGCTATTTTTTTAGATTTCCTTGCAGGATTGGAGTGTACAGCACCACCGATCAAGCGGGCCGTGTGGATGCGAGAACGGTGCCAAGATTGGTGGGACTGAATTGTGGCTACCAACTTCAATGACAATGACTGGCGGGAGAATTTTAGAATGTCGAGGCACAATTTCTGCCACCTTGTTGCTGCCGTGGCGCCATTCATGTCTTTTTGTGAAAACTACGTGCGGACCGCTGTTCCTCTCGACAAGACGGTGGCTATGGCTCTCTACAAATGAGCAAGTTGTGGAGAATATCGCATTGTGGCCAACCAATTCGGCGTGCACAAATGAACAGTAAAGAAGATTTTTATATGTTTTGCCAATTGGTGACAACGCACCTGGCAAAGGAATAAGTGAAGCTGCCGTCAGCAAATGAAGCAAAAAAAAATATCTGAACAGTTTGAGGCAAAGTGCCACCTACCTCAAATTTTTGGAGCGATTGACGGCACTCACATACCAATCACCGCACCAAAGACCGGCTACCTAGACTTCGTGAACCGGAAGTACTGGGCGTCATACAACGTGGAAGCAGTTGTGGATGACGGAGGACTGTGAGTGCATGTTCATTCGAAAATGCGGTACGCGCGTGGGGGCTAGCACACCACTACGTGAGGCACAAAACATATTCTGTTCTGGAATATTTCTAGGCTACATTAACTGTGCTCAGTAACTTCTCTGGTCTGTTTGGGGGGGGGGTGAAAAGTTCGAGCCCAGTTTCTGTTATTGGCCATGTTTTGCACTAAATTGATCCTTATATCATATGTGCTTTGCTACTGCCTGTTCAAAGGTTTTTTGTTTTTACTTGCAGCAGCAGCTACGAGTACCCCACTTTGTATTGTGTCACGTTAGAATTTTCGCTGTGCAGGTTTACGAACGTGTCCTGCCGAGCCCCGGGCAGCGCTCATGATTCAACAGCCTTGAAGATGTCAGCGCTGTACAAGCGCAGCGACAACTTGGTGCCGCATGGGTTCAGCATGCTCCGAGGCACAGCCATTCCTTTCATGCTGGTTGGATACCCGGCCTACTCTCTTCTGCCATGGATAATGAAGGGATACACAGGTAGACTCTCAAGAGAAGAAGAATGCTTAATGTTTATTTAAGCAGCGCACGGAATGTTGTGGAACAGGCATTCGGTAGACTGAAAGGACGCTGGCGCATCCTGCTGAAGCGTGCTGACATATATATTGTAAGTTTATGCCAACTGTTTTTATAGCAACGTGCGCGCTTCGCAACTTCTGCGAAACACATCAGAAGGCTATGGCGCTTCGTGGAATCAGGCTGTCACGGAAAGTGAATCAGTGCTCTTCCCACAACCCTCAAGCAGACCTCGCAGCGAGGTGCGGTCAGAAATCAGGGACCTTCCCAGAGACCACCTTGCTGCTAATTTTCCACTACGCAGAAGCACACTGGTATGATTTCTGCTCTAAGAATTGTACATGCAATGAGACCTAGGTAAGAGTTCTCACCATAGTTCCATTAAAATGCGCCGTTTTCAACTGAGTTCAACATTTTATTCATCCACCTAAAATTCAGTGTTGCGAACAAAGTTTTTTGTTCAGCTTTTACAAGATACATTCATTTCATTTTAAGACCAAGTCTTCGTGTGTATGCTAATTGGAACACCTGAGCTGCTTAACAACCAAAAACGTGCAACAGATGTAAACGAATCAGACACCGAAACGTACCATTGTCATGATATGTAATTAGCTTGATGAAGTAACTATGCTCAGGCATGTTCACTGCCAATCTCTTGGTATAGCTTGATTGCACTTTCTAGGTCAACTGTCTGTTGTCATTCATTGAGACGACTCCATTCATAAAGGGAAGTCAAACTTGTTCGTGAACTGGAGACACTATGACGATACAGTACCAATGCTCGCAAAGCTATGTAAGAAGCCAGTTTAGGTTTGTGAGAAATGGCATTTTGACTGCTCAAGTGCAGAGTATTGGTCGCTGAGGATTTTCGTTAAGCTTCGTCCATCACTGTCCCAGAATTTTTTTTCCATGAAAAATTTCTGTGCCTCAGCAATGGCTGTACTCACAAAGGCAACATGGCAACTGTAGACAAGCAATTTCTTTGTTTCAGCACTGTTATAGGGTCAACTGTTCAAAGTGGATAATGCCTGCGTACAGCTGGCGTATGGTTGTTTTGAGCTACATGGTTCTTGATTACTTTACATTGCCAATACCCTTACATTTAACATTTATGAAGTTTTTTGCTATGTAAATGTACTTTCATTGTAGCCATTCTTTTCTTTGTGAATTTTAAACCACAGTCCCTGAGTATGTGTAATTGTATTTATTGCTCAAACTTGTAATGTCATTTTTTCCCCTGTGGTGCTGTATATTCCCTGGTCCCTTCAAGCTGACGCTATATTTCCATGGCTCCTGTTGTTAGCACTAAAAGTTGACGCTTTTTCTTTTCCAATGTTGTCTTCAAGTGTGTCAAATTGCGATTTCAATTTTGTATGCAAATAAAAAATTTCAAATATAGTTTCATCTGAACGGTGCAATAAATTTACGCTTTAGGCTATTTCAAGCAAAAAAAAACTTTGAGGCAATTTTGGCCTTCTACGGTTGAGGCTTCATTTTGTGAAACCTTATTTGAATTCCTCAATTTAAGTATTTTTTTGCTCTCCCCTGCTGTTGCCTTAAGGCTTATATAAAGGTTTCTTGATTTTGGGAAGTTTCTGATTTAAATAATTTATTTCATGGCTCCCGGGCGACTTTTCAATTGCGGTTTTACGGTAGTCGTGTCCCACTGCCGTTGTGTGTACGCATCGTACTTGTGTTAGGCACTAGAAACCAAGTGGAATTCCAGACAACGGAATGGGTGTGATGTGACCATCTTCCCCTCAAGTCCTAGAGTTTCCTAAGATCCACAGCACTAGTCTCTCACTACTGTGCCTTTCTTGTTATCCAAAGAGGCAGCGAGGCGAGACATTGCACTGTAGCATATCTGAAAAATCAGAAGAAAGGGCAAACGCATAAGCCTGGAGGTGAAATACGGGGCTGAACTCAGTGGCAGTAGGCGACAAATGGGTAGATGTTTAGGGGCTTTTATTTTGGTAACCACACACAACTGCACACATGCATTGCACACACAAAGAAAAGTTGGCCTATCGCCTCGGAGCGCGACTGTGCCCTGGCGGGTAGGACATGAATGGTGGCCTTTGGGCAGGAGGAGGGGTGTGCATGCCTTGAAGACCGCTTAGAAGGTTGGCCTGATGGGCAAGAAACTGTCCCATAAGGGCTTGTGTTCCCTGCAAGAAGGAGTTTGTGACTCCTGCCAGGAGCTCCTTCATATTTTTATGCTCTCTTTGGAGAAGCTGATTTTCAATTTCGAAGCGAATGGTATTTTTCTTCTCTTGCTGCTGAATGTTCTTTTCATACATCTTATCCAACACCTTTTCAAACGTGGTTGTCTCGCGGCGCTTCGGGGGGGGGGGGTGTTGCATCAGGGGTCAGGTTTCCACGTTCTGTTCCTGATGTGCTTGGTTCTCCTTGCGATGGCGTAGATGTTGCAGCTGAAAATAGAATTCCCATGAGAGAGCCTTTTTCACGTTTATCACAGCCTCTTTAGCTTTTTTCTCCTTTAGTCTTATGTTGTTTTGTCTCATTCATTTCAGAGGGGGATGTAATTGACCTTAATATTTTATGTATGCTCATTTTTAAGACATGTGTAGGAATACGTGGTCTGTCTGCATGTTGGCTATAAGGCGAGTATGTGAAAAAGGCTTAACTTTTTCAATTTGCAAGTGCTACAAGTGTTATTTAATACTTTGTATTTTCCCACATATATTATGGTCCGAGGCTTTATTGTGTATGGAGGGAGTCTAAAAATTGCGAAAAGTGATTAATATCTCGAAGAATTCTTGTACATAGAAAAACTGAGAAACTGTGGAGTAAGTCTTTTAAAAAGTGACTTGTGCCTTAGGGAAAACATGAGCCGCATATGTCTTGGAACACCTGACCACACTTGTTTTACTGGGAATTTTGTTCCAAGAGTGGACATGACTTACTATGAACTCGTGTATATGCAGTAAATAAAGCTTGCACGCATGTTCTTTGCATTGTTTTTTTTCAGTCATATTGAACACTGAAGTAGGAAACATGACTGCTGTGGCATTACAGCGCAGAAAAAAAGAACTTACAGGTTTCTAGATCGTCGGACGCATCTCCTTCCTCTTGGCTGCCATCTGCAATTATAAGTATTGGATTAGTGCATTTGCCATAGGTCTTCATTGTAATCAGAGACGGGAATATTGACAGTAAAACCATGTGCATGGTCAATTCATGATCTACATTTATCCTGCGTAGCATTCCTTGCCGAGTACCCCAGCACCTTAGACTGTGGAATGCCCTGCCTTCAAACAAAAATGCGTGACGGGCGGAGTAACACATTTATTTGTTATAACCGAAACGGAGATAATTGGTCAAACAGAATTTTATCACCATAGGAGCGCAAATTCCCCTTATTGGTCATACGTCATTATCAATAAAAAACAAGAATAACCAAAAGTTAAAAATATCACAAGAACGAAGTTACGAATTAAATACATGGCTCATTCCACGCTAAACGTTCCAGGCAGCACGCTCGACCATCTCCGATAAGAATATAAAAATTCATGGTCGATCGTTTGACTACACTAATCGATTCCATTTTTGTTTTGAGACCAGTTTTCGGAGGAAATTTTTTCTAACTCTCAGAGCAATTTAACCCTTTATTGACGAGACAATAAAATACTTGCAAAAAACATCTATTTTCTACATATTTACAATTGTTGCAACAAGACTAAGCATATTTCATAAAAAGAAAAAAATTCTGCGTATAGTTTCTAAAATACAGCTTTGTTGCCTGTGGGCAACAGTAGGCACGAGCCATAAGGTAGGCTTCACTGCGTGCTTCTTACGGGTTAGTGTGGAATTTGTGCATGCACTCCTTCCCTGGAGTGAAACAAAGGTGTACGTTGCACTTCCTGCACATGACTCGCGTGATTCCTGTGCAGTTTGGGTATTTACAACGGCCTTTTTTTGCAGAAAACATCGGAAGATGGTCGATAGTGTCGAGCCTTATCTCCTTGCATGGAACAGGAGCTGATGGCCCGCGCCGCTTCTTCACCTGCAATTCATTCTCGACCTTTGATGGGCCCAATGGTCGCTTCCTCGAAGGGGTTGATACCTTTCCCTGTTGCCTCAGCGCGCAGGCAATGTCTGCTTTGAATGTTAGCAGGGTCATTTGGTGCTTGCAAGGCACGTTAGCCGCGGTGGCATCTCGGCGGTAGAGGAGCCAGCAGTTGACAACTACTACATCCAATAAATGAAAAAAGAGCCTCCTGTACCACTTTTTTGACCTTACTTGGATGCGGTAGAGTGCCACAAGCATGTCCAAAAGATCAACACCTCCCATGCATTCATTGTAGATGCCGACAACAGCAGGGCGGGGTATGCTCACAGTCGTTCGGGTCTTCTTGTCGATGCGTTTCACGGCCTGCTCGGGTGACGCTGAAGCAAACGTAGACAGTAAAGTCACGGGGCGGTTGTCAAACCACTTGACAGCCCTCAGGCTCACCCCTTCAAACGTGGTCGCCATTTCCACGTAAGAGCCACGCCCTTTCTTCTTCAGATCTTTGTCGGATGGAAGTTTGCATCCTTTTAGGCGAGCCTCGCGTACTGTCCCTACGGAACTGATTCCAACCTTCTTGAGGACTACTTGTAAGTCCACGCCGCAAAACCAGTTGTCAAAATACAAGATGTAGTCTAGACCGCGGGGCACGATACTCGCCATTCGCAGGACGATGTTGCCACTTGCACCGATGTCGGGAAAACCTTGCTGAGGCAGAATTTTGCCTGTGTAAATTTCAAAGTTGTACTTATGCCGCATTCATCGCAGAGAAGGAAAAGCTTATAACCCCATTTTTTGGGCTTGTTGGGCAAATACTGCTTCAATGAGCTGCGGCCTTTGAACGGCATCAGCTGCTCATCAACGCATAGCTTTTGAGATTTTGGTATCTCGTGGCTTTGGCGACCAGGTGGTCCAACAGGGGCCGCACTTTGTAAAGTCTGTCACGTTCGGGGTCATTCTGGTCTGGTGCTTCCTGGTTGTCAATAAAATGCAGTGACTGCTTGATTTCTTTCCACCTGTCTCTCGTCATGGTGTCGGCGACTTGACTGACTCGGAACCTCTGTGACCAGTACATGCGTAATTGAGGCAGCTTCATAAGCGACATAGTGAGCACTGTACCGATGAACTGCTCTAAATCATTGACTGTCATTGAATTAACTTTGTTGGGATTCCTCTGAGCGCTATACAGGGAGGACTGCTCACAGATGTGAGACAGGAATGTCACGTCAAAGAAGTTTCTGAAATAGGTGATGGGAGACTCAACCGGGGATTGGTAGGGTGGTACGTCTTTCCACTCAGGCATGGCATTACTCGAGGAGCCTCGGACAGCCTTTCATGTGGGAGAATCCTTCGAAGGCTTGGGCATTTCTTCAAGCGCATTGTCGATACTGCCCGCGCTTGGAGCTCCTGAGACCTCTTCATCCTCACTGTCAGCTGGCGGTGCTGCAAAAATTGCACGGAAAATGATTGCGATGTCAACAAAGTGCAAGAAAAAGCCAACAAAATTAAAAATAGTAATTACTCTCGTAAATTTCATCAGTGCTCTCTGTGTTCAGTAAAATCTATTTTCTGCTAAAGACAAAAGTTGCGGAAATACTGTTTCGCTAGCTGGCCTAAACAATGACACTGTTTGAAATACACAGAGCCAGCCTGCTGCAAAGCGTAAACGGAATGCCAGACTATCCGCGTCCTACGCAGAGCTGCCGAACTTGGGAACACCTAGAAGCGTCTGCTGTGAGAGATGCCGACAGCCTCAAGTGAAAGCGCCGGGCCACACAACCTTTTGTAATACAAGCAGCCCCTTCCTTCACCTCATCCCGCTGCGCTTTATTATGCAAGAGACCGTAGTTTATTCGTCAATCGAATGATAGCGTAGTTCCGACTGACACGACAAAATAAATACTTACTTGTCCGGGCTAAAACAGCGTTTTCAGGCTCTTCGTCGCTCGATGAATCCAGGTCAGAGTCATCACTGTAGTCAGGGGGCACTTTTGCAGCAAATTTTGCATAAAATGCACCCGGGTCCATTCTTCGAAATCGTTGCTTTGTCTGCGTGTCCTGCGTGAGGTGGTGCAGCGATAATGGAAGCAGTGCAGGCAGAGGAGCGCGCTACCAGACAAAATTGCACAGCGCAACCTTAGCGGGATGAGAAACACAGCATTGTGCCTCGTGTTGCCTGTAGGCAACAAACACCTCACGTGCCCGTACGGGCCCAAAGTAGCAGCGCCGTTTATATAATTTGACAACGAGGAAAGTGAGGCATTTTTCTAAGTCATTGCAAAAAGCCAGAGAGAGAACAACGAATGCTTACCCGAAAATAGATGTTCGAACGCTGAAGTCGCGTCGTAGAGCGCTCTGCAGAGTTTTGCGCGCCAAACTTCTTTTTTCTCTTCGTCGGTTTCTTAGTTACAAATCAGAGGGCGCCACACATCCATGTGGCAGTAACATGGGGAGACTTTGGAGGGAAAAAGAAGCTCGCGAAACCGAAAGTGATCCAAAAAAAATATTTTCCGCTATGTTGCCTGTGGGCAACGTTCGTCAATAAAGGGTCAAATATCGTGGCAGCGCCCAATAACTAGGTTGTCAAAAAAACTCGTGGGTACGAAGAACACAGCGTTTCCTTGGCACGACGCGTTCACAGCTACTAGGTTGTCTCAAGATGTTTTTTGAGGGGAAGCAATGCGTTGTTCTTGGGCGATATTTAAACATTTTTTACAGCTCTTACAACTTTTTATGAGATAATGCAGCTGCATAATTTGTTTCTATTACTGGCGGTAAGCGCAAGAAAATGGAGCACGAATCAACAGCACGAATCAAAGTGTAGTGTATAAGTTGGATTTTTCCTCTTCAATGTGTTCGGTATCTCTGTATAAACGATATGTTTATCAAAACAATCTGCATCTTAAACTAAAATGTCGTTCATTATACAACTCTTTCTCCTGCCTCTAATTAATGTATATTATAATTGCATGGATCCATACTAGCATTCTGCTAAGGACGCAGATGTTGCTAACATGTTTTTCTTTACTGTATGTTGTTTATTCATAATAAAGTTCAAAGTTCAAAGTTCAAACAAGCCGGCTTTGGTGCATTAAGGAGGCTGCCGAGGAACCCTCGTTGCAGTGAAGTGGGCTTACGGTCCACCGTTGACAGCCTTGGTGGCAGCTCAATATAAATAATATTTTCACGCGTAAAACAAAGATTCGTATTAAACTTACAGAAATAAATATCGTTTCTGCACCCTTTGAAATGATCCAAAGTGTATATTTTTATATGGAGCGCAACACAGACCAATAGGTGCCTGAACATGAGCAATATTGCAAATTTTTCAAAGTTCATGTGCCAGCGCTTCCAAACTACTGTCTTCGCGACTCGTGGTTTTCCCCCACTATCCGTCAACAATGCAAGCAAGCTATGCAGCTGCGTTGTCTCTGGAAAAGTTGAAAAGCTGTAAAAATTTCTGACTTTGGTCAAGAACACTGCATTGCTTCCCCGCAAAGCACATTAACATACACTAGTGGTGAATGCGTTTTAACAAGGAAATGCGGTTCTTTTCCTACCGACTGGAATTGTTTTACCGTGCTGCGTATAATATTTCACTTTTTCGAAGTTTCGTTGCAACCTAACTGCCACCATATTTATGAAATTAAAATTTTCTTTAGAAAATTGGTTCAAAAATGAATAGGGTAGTAAAGTGACCAACCATTACTTTTTATATTGTAATTGTAGATGGTCTAGCGTACTGTCTGGGATATTTGGCGTGAAACGACCCTCATCTCCTTCAAAACCCGAACACTAAACCCGAAAAAACGTTCGAAATGCCTAAATCTGAGTTGAGTTTGAGTTTGAGTTTATTCAACCACGTGACAAGTACACGAAAATACACTGTATACGTGGTTTGGTGCGAAAAGAAAAAAGCTGCATTTCACAGCTTGACTGGCCCCTTCACCCAGAAAAAATCTAAACTACAAATTCACAGAAAATTACAAACATTACAGGCAACGGAAAGCGACAATACAAAAAGAAACACGCATGTGGCCCATGACAGCAAATAATAGAATCACAACTCTAAAATACATACAAAAATATTCATAACAAAGCAACGCATGAAAGAATAAAAACTGAATAACCATCACAGAAATCACCCAACATTAACATACAACACAATCAGCACGTCCTATTTAACATTTCAGTTTTAGACAATATACGCAGATTATCAGCTGTTAGTTTCTATTTGTTCATGACACTTGGAAGGCGGTAACGTAGTGTTTCAAATCCATAGTTTGTGCGAGGACAAGGTACGTGCCAAGTCTCCGTACAGCGAGTAACGCGACTGACAGGATTTGGTTGCAAGGTAGCCAAGGTGCGTAAAAATATACTTCCTCTGCGTATTTCTGCTTTAAAAGCTGACAGAAGCTCGTATTCGTAATAACAGGTAATTCTTAAAATTCTATATTTTGCAAATATTGAAGCAGTGTGTGCGTTATAGGATACACCTTCAATGCACCGCAAGGCATTTTTTTGTAACACGACCAGGTTCTTTAGAGATGCTTTAGAGCCTGTAGACCAGAGCAGATGACAATAACGTAAATGTGAAGAAAAAAGAGCATTGTACACTAATATTTTTTGTTTTACCAGTAGTATGTTCTGGCATCGACGCAACACACCTAGAACTTTACAAAGTTTGTGACTAATGTGTTCTGCATGGTGATTCTATGCCATATGTTCGTGAAAATGGACACCGGGAGTTTTAACTGTTTGGCAAAGTTTAATTTCAACGTTATTAGGTATTAGCTTGTGAGACGTTTTAAATGACCTGGCTTTCGCACGGAAAAGTACAGCCTTGCTTTTAGAGCAATTAGTGTGTAGAGAATTCGCCATAGTCCAGGCATATATTTTATTTAGTATTTCATTAGCAGAAACAATGAGGTCATTAGCCGTTTCTTCAGAAAAAAATATGCTAGTATTGTCCGCGTAGAGAACATATTCTACAGAGCTGTCAATACGTTCAATCGCGTTGATAAAAATAATAAATTATTGGGGGTCCCAAAATGCTACCTTGAGGTACGCCATTCTTAACGTTCATGAATTATGATAGCTCCCGATTGATTGATACACATTGTTTTCTATTAGATAAGTAGCTTCTTAATAAAGCTAAAACGGTATCGCAAACTCCATAACAGTGAAGGTTTTCTAGCAAAATATCATGGTTTATTGTATCGAAAGCTTTCGAGAAATCTAAAAATATTCCTAGGGTAAGTTTCTTTGCTTCTATGTTTCTTAAAATCAATTCCTTTTGGTATAGTAAGGCACTTTCGGTTGAGAGGCCTGACTGAAAACCGAACTGTGATGGCGTAAATTGTTGTGTTTATTAAAAAAATTTGATAACCGAATGAAAATAAGTTTTCCACACCCCTTAGAGAAAACTGGTAAAATCGAAATTGGTCTGTAGTTTCCTAAATTGCTTTTGTCCCCACCCTTATATATAAGCGTTACTTTAGCTTTTTTCATTCTCTGAGGAAACAGCCCAGTGGTGAACACGAGATTATAAATATGTACTGTTGCGAAGCTCACCTCCGACGACGTTACGAAGGGCGCTACGAATCTCACCGCTGCAACCACTGTTTCGAAAGACGGCGACGCCAACACGGTCCCGAAGGCGCCACTGCTTCGAACTCCACCGGAAAAGTCACCAGCCGTTTGGTAGCGTAGGTTTTTCAGCTCCCGACTGCTTCTGCGCAGAGCTGATAGACGAGCAG